GGCAGGAAGCAGTGGCACCATGGAGAAACGTGGCAGAATTTCTCAGCCAGGGGATCAAGGTTAACATCATCAGTGATGAGTCATATCACTAGCATGTACTTTATTTATGAATGTATTTATTTATTTTTAAGACAGAAGGGAAGGGAGGGAGAAAAAGAGGGAGAGAAACGTCCATGTGAGAGAGAAACGTGGGTTGGCTGCTTTCTTCTATACGTGCCCTGGCCAGGACCTACCCGCACCCCAGGCATGGGCCCTGTGGGTAATCCAACAGCGCCGGACAGTGCCCAGCCAGCTGAGCTGCAGGGGTCGGGCGATGGCATGTACTTGGATGTGATACGACAAGAATGGCCCTTCACCTAAGTAGTGTTCCTCCCCCGCAACCATCACCGGTCTAACTATGAGAGAACCTTAAGACAAACACAAATTGAGGAACATTCTGTGAAATATCTTTAAAAGTATTTCTTAAAACTGCCAAGATCGTCAAAAACACAAGAAATCTGTCATAGCCCAAAGAAGGCTAAGGAAACAAGACTGCAAAATGGGATATGGGCCCTGGCCGGTGTGGCTCAGTCGGTTGGAGTGTGTCCTGTGACGGAAGGGTTGTGGGTGGGATCCTCAGTCCGGGCAGTACCTGAGTTGTGGGCTCGGTCCTGGCACCAGGCGATCCACGGTCGTGCGCATACAGGAGGCGGCCAATGGATGCTTCTCTCTCACATCATGTTTCTCTCTCTTGAGAGCAACGAAAAAAATGTCCTCAGGTGAGGATAAAAAAAAAAGTTCACTGGTATCCTGGATGGGACTCAGGAACAGACAAGGGCACTAGGGAAAAAACAATGAAATCTGAGTGAAGTATGGGGCTTAGTTATTAATGATGTATCCGTATTAGTTGTGACAAATGTACCATCATACTAAGAAACACTGGGAGAAACTGGGTGCTGGACATAAAGCAAGATTGTACTTTCTTTGGGCCTTTTCTGTAAATCTAAAAGTTTTTTAGAAAGAAAGAAAGCCTTAATCATGAAATAGATAAAATGTTGGGAGAGGCAAAGAGAGGTCTACTTTCACTACTTCTGTTTACTAATTCGATGGAGGTCCTAGTTAGCGCAGAAAGGTAAGAGATGGCATAAAGTTTAGGGGGGAATCAGTCTGCCTATCCCTGGAGATCTGTTGGAGGAGGAGGCACTAACTGGCTCAGTGTAGCAGCTTCTGAGATGACGTGAGTTGTTGTCCCCAAGAGTTGCGATCCTGAGAAAGACTGGAGAGACTGCCCGTTGTTATGGTCCAGCTATAAAGCAGAAAGGGAAACTGTAAATGGTAAAAATAATTTGTTTAAATATTAGAATATTAATATGTCTAAAAGAGCTGTTGAATTTCTAATTATTCATGTTAATTTTAGGTAAAGTTTTAAACACTTTTCCTTATGTCTTGGAAGATGCTTCAATACTCTGTAGAAACTAACAGACACAAAAAAGCTTTAGGCTCAGATGTACAAGTCATTCTACAGAGTTGTTCCTGAAAGTGTCTTGCATCTCTGTCTAAAATATATAGCCTGCTGAAACCTATAGAATTTTATTAACCAACATCACCCCAATAAATTCAGTAGAAATTTTAAAAGTGGCCACCAGGAGCAATGGGTGAAAATAAAAAGAGAATGGAAAAAAAAATACTAGTGAGTTTGCTTCCATTAAAGCCAAAAAAGTAAAATTAAAAAAAATAGTAATAGCCCTGGCTGGTGTGGCTCTGAATTGAGTGCAAACCAAAGGGTCGCAGGTTCCGTTCCCAGTCAGGGCACACGCCTGGGTTGCGGGCCAGGTCCCCAGTGGGGGGCACGTGAAAGGCAGTCACACACTGATGTGTCTCTCCCTCTCTTTCTTCCCTTCCTCCCCTCTCTCTAAAAATAAATAAATAAATAAATAAATAAATAAATAAATAAATAAAATCTTTTTAAAGATATGTTTAAGACATTTTCATTCCTAAAAATCTTCCCTTCCACTCTGCCTCTCCCGCTAACCGCTGCGCTGTATTAGTCCCTTCCTTTGCCACCCATCCTGCTGTCGGGCTTTTATCGATTTTATTCACACCTCAGTCTTCAGTGTCTGGCCCGACCCCCTCCACCACCCTAACTGCAGAGTTGTCGGTGCTAAATCACTGGCTGACTTAATGTCATGGACCCATTTCAAAGTCTTGACCATTGGTTTTTTACCTTTTTTTTTTTTTAAGATTTTATTTATTTAATTTTAGAGAGAGGGGAAGGAAAAGAGACAGAGAGGGAGAGAAACATCAATGTGGGGCTGCATCTCGCACGCCCACCTACTGGGGACCTGGCCCAGAACCCAGGCGTGTGTCCTGGCTGGGAACTGATCCTGCGACCCTTGAGTTTGCAGGCTGGCACTCAGTCCACTGAACCACACCAGCCAAGGCAGCTTTTGACTCTGTTAATCATTCTCTAAAGTGTTCTCTCTCCAAGTTATACCATTTTCCCCTGAATTGACCGGTTCTTCTTTCTTGTGCCTCTTGAAATACCGGTATATCTCAAGATTCCATTGTAAAACCTCCTGTTCTCCCTGGACACGTTCATTCACTCCAGTGGTATCAATTTATGCTAAATGTTAACTCGCAGGAATTAATCTCTAGCCCTTTCCACTCTCCCCAGCCTGTCATAGTGGCACAGTTTCCACTTAGAAGTGCCTTAGACAACTTGTTTTTCAGTGAAAGCTAATCGGAGGAATTCCTTCTTTGTTCTGTGCCCCAGTCAGTGGCACTTCATTTCACCGTTCAGTCCTTTGACTTTAACTTACCCAGTCTCCAGCATCCAGACGACTCCAGGTTCTGTGTTCTGTCTCATCAGATCTGTCCCCTCACCCCCATCCACGCCGCCTTACCTCACGCCCTCGTGTCTTGCCAGGGTTATGCAGTAGCTTTTCAATTAGGTCTGCGCTCTACACTGCTTCCCGAGTTCTTTTTAAAATACATGTCCTGTTGTAGCTCCCTTAAAACTTTCAGTGATTCCTCATTTCACATGGGCTGTAATGCAGATTTCATTATATGGCTTTTAAAGCCATTTGGAATCTGGCTGGCGGTTCCTTCTCTCCAGAGTACCTTCCCCGTCCTTGTTCCCCTTTACCACCGGGTTTGCCGTCTCTCCTGTGTTTTACCCCAGTGACTGTTGCTGGGCCTGGCTACTGGAAGATGATGTTTGGTCTGATTAATAGCATTTGAGAATTAAGGTCACTCTCCTTGGGTTTAGTTCCGTGTAGCATAAATGTGGAGTATGAGTACATTGGGGTTTTGTAAGTTAGAAGACGTCATGCAGTATCATTGCAAATTATTAACTGGTTATCTGTGTTCTGTATCAGAACAGATGCTATGCATAAAAATGTGTGTGTTGAAATTTTCCATCAGGAGGAGGTGTTAGGTGGAGGCGAAAAGGCATGTTCATAGGATCTTTTTTTTGGCATTGGGCTCAGCACTTGGCTTTTCGAGTTTATTCTGATTTAAACTCAGCAGTTCACAGATAATGATGTTGAAGGTGAAATGCATATAGGAACAAACCCATCTGGAGACATTAAAGAAATAGATAGAAATGCTTGCTTAAAAAAGGAAAGAACAGTTTTTCATTTGTAGGAGGAAATGTAATATTACATTTTAAGATAGTTTAAAACATTTCTTTTCTAAATTCTGGTCTTGAGTTACTGAATTACTGCCTGTTGTCCACTAAATTCTGCCTTGGAGCTAATATGCTCCGTATTTGTTCACTAAATAGTTTTCTTAAATTAGTACTTGCCAGTAGAGCTGTGGCCCATTTCTTTAAAGCAATCTCCTCATATTAATATTTCTAATACTCTGAAAACATGTTTTAAGATTTTACTTATTTTTAGACAGAGGAGAACGGAGGAAGAAAGAGAGGGAGAGGAACATCAGTGTGTGGTTGCCTCTCATATGGCCCCCACTGGGGACCTGGCCCACAACCCAGGCATGTACCCTGACTGGGAATCAAACCGGCAATCCTTTGGTTCACAGCCAGTGCTCAATCCACTGAGCTACACCATGCAGAGCTGCCCTCCTCCCCTTCTTTTAAGGGCCAAACCTTGTAGTGAAAAACAAATCTCCTTCCCATGCCAGACCTCAAAGTCCCTTTTGCTAGTCCCTTTTTGTTGCCAGTTAACAGATGAGGGCACACTGTAGGCACTTTGCCCTTTGCTTTTTAGTTTAATGTGTCAACATACATATTTCAGCATCTATACCTGACTCTCATTCTCTTTCATAACAGCAAGTATTAAATTAGTCTTCTGTTGGTGGTCATTTAGATTATTTCTAGTACTTACAACTATTGCTCTTATGAATTTCCTCATACACGTGGGTTTGTGCATATATGCAAATATATCTGTAGGTTAAATTCCCAGAAGTGTAACTGCCGAGTTAAAGAATACATGCACAGGGTTGTGGGGAAGGTATATGTCTTTAAAATTTTACTGTTTCTAAAGTGAGGAGTACAGTTTAAAAGATGAGTATTCTCATGTAAACTTATTTTCCCTGTGAACTGTGTTATTTTTTAAGTATTCAGGGTCAACTTTGCCTATTTGTCAGCTTTATATGTTTAAATGCTTATATTTTAGTGACTAACTCCACTACATGCAGTTTAAAATGGTTAAAAGCAAATATCAATGAATAATCAGATACCTATTTTTCCTTCCCCACAAAGAGTGCAGGAGAGCATCGTCTTTCTTGATTGTTGAACAATGTTAGGAGTCCCTCTTTTCTTCCTTTGAAGGTGAGACTCTTTGGCTCCATCCCCCAAAAAATGGATTAACTTTTAGAAATGCATCTCAGAATGAAATACGGTTTTGCTGTCAGGTGAGTGAAAACAGTAACTGGAAATAAAGTCTTGGGTTTCCCCACATGCTTAAACCCAGTGAAATGATGATGCTTGGCCAAAATAAATAAAAGTTAAAATTCCTTTGTGAGGTTGTCAAATTCTCACGCTGTATATTTTCTTTCAGATTCCTTTGTTTCTTCCTCTTCCTCTCAGCCTGTATCTCTCTTTTCGACCTCACAAGGCAAGTCTGTCATTTTGTGTGTGTGTGCATTAATAAAAGAAAAATGTTGAGAAAGAGGCTGTAACTGGGGATACGAGGCACAAGTTCTCTATTGCCCCCAAATCCCTTTCAGTAAAAACCAACGAAAGCCAGTTGGTCCCTTATGTTATTCAGCAGTTTCCAGTGGATTTCCTGTAAAGGTTAATAAAGTAGAATGAGGCTAGGTGGGCCCTTTAACATAGCATAGGCGTGAATTGAGATGTGGTTTTGAGTATTTCTTGAACATAAAAAACTCTCCCACAGAATTTGGAACAGATAGAATTGTGGCTCAGAAAACAACCCACTCCCAGAATCCATTTAACTTAATGTAACTGCTTTGGGGAGGTGCTGGATTTGAAAAATTATAAAAGTGTGCTTCCACTGCACCAAATCACTATGTTAGCGAGAGTTTTTTAGCGTGAACTTCTCTGAGATTTATCCCAAGAGCTAGGCTAGTTCTAAATTGCCAAGGAACATTGAACAAGGCAATGGATGTTTTGGCAATTGAGGCTTATTTGCCTACACATTATGTTGTGGCTTTGTTGTTTTGGGTTTGTTGTTGTGTTTTTTTTTTAAGATCTGTCAACTAGTGAGGGAGGGAATCTGTTACCTATAGGTTCGTGAAGGTAGTAGCACCGCCAAGAAGCTAGAAGAGAAAGTGGTTTGTGCTTCGTAGGTTTGCACTGATGATAAAGTGCTGTTTGCTTGTGCTGTTGTAGGCGACATCAAATACAGGTCAGTGGAAAACCCTTATTGTAAAAAAGGTAATTAAACTCACTAGACAGGCCCAAGAAACCCTGTGCAAACAGTTAATTGTCCTCGCTAAACTCTTGAGATACAAAATCTGGACACCTGTTTGTTAGGAAGACTTTGACCTTTTAAGAATAAAAACATAATGGGATAAAATTAATTTAGTAAATTTTTTTCTAGTTTTAATCTGCTTCTTAGGAAGCATGATAGATAATTTGTTGTTGCTTTTAATTCAGGTTGCTAACGTGAGAGCCCCCAAGCCCTGTATAAGGTGCCTCACTGTGAGTTTGGCATCTTGTGGGTCAAATGGTGACCTTTGAAATTAATGTGTTTGCATTAAAAGATAATTATTTTGTGAATGTTAGCAAGTAACTCAAACCTACAAAGTGATTCTTGACATCTGGCACCCAACCAGAATGATATTTTTAATGGGTTTTTCCCCCTCATTAGAAATTTTAATAATTCAGGTAAATAGGTATTACATTGATTCCACTCTGGAAAATAAACTAGTAAAAACACAATGTAAGTAGAACAAATAATTATTATACTTCTCTACTGTAAATATTTTAGATACTTTAAAATACGTCCTTCATAGTTAACAATTTTCAGTCACTTTATTATTATAAAAGGGTAATTGATACCCTAACAAGTGTAACAGCGCAGCCTAGCACATCCCTTGTCGAGAAAATAACCACCATAGCTTTAAAAATTGTTTCAATCCTTGTTAGGAAAAATTGCACCTACACACACACAGAATGGAAGTCAATAAAAAGGATTTTTTTAATTAAAAACTAATGTTTGAATAGGCTTAAGTTTACAGTGAGTATGGGAGTTTGTAAAGGAAGATAAATTTGTCATTCTTTCTTTTAGCTCATGTGGGAAGAGTTATTTTGACCAGGATAGTGTTACTGCTAAAACGGTATGGTAAAGAGGTGGTTAAAGATGTCATATATCTGAAGGTGTTTCAGTCTAGCCTCTATTATGGCATCCTCTTTTGTAAAACACACACACACACACACACACACACACAGTGGAGAAGTAACCCAGTTGGTGCTCTGCCTCATGGGCAATTCTAAAGATCTGCCTGCTCAGTTGTTTGCCCTAACACCTTGGCAAGCGATTAGGTGTGTTCTAAGGTAGCCAAGACTGGTGCTTCTACTCGGCCTTAATAAAAATAAGAGACGAGGAAGTTGCTGGTGTGCTCCGTCAACTGAACTAGAACTCCGGGGAGAACAGCTGAGACCAGGCCTGCCCCACGCAGGCCTTTCAGAGTGGCTGCCGTCACCAACAGGCACCCTGAGTCAGTCCGTCACCGGCACCACCCCGACCGACCTGTCTCTGGCTTGCGTATCCCTTGGCGTCATACCTTGGAGAATTGTGCCTCGTTTTTATATATATCTAAACCATGTTAAACAATATGTGGCCATAATTAAATGGGACATTTTCATGTTTAAGAATGACATTTTTAATCCTGAAATACATACTTATCATGGAGCTTCAGTGAGATGCGTGTACCAAAAACTGTCATTTAGACTGAGTCAACAAAGGCAGTTAAATACTTAAAAAATAAATTATATAATACTAAATTGTACTACTTTGAGGTATATGGCTACTTAAGCTAGCCATTTAAGCTTTTTGAAAGCTAATACACAGATTTGTGATGAGAATGTCAGTGGAATAATCAGTTTTACTCTGGAGTAGATCTTTTGCTTATTGATCCCTTTTTTCTCATTAAAGAGTTAAATTTCAGCCTAATCCCTGAGCATTTCCAAATGGAATAAATTTTAGTAATGTGGTCCTATACTGTAAAATAAAGGTATTAACAGAGGTGTAGATGTAGTATGTGGCTAACTTTATGGAGCTTATGCGGTGTTCACTACCTTATATGAACCATCTCATCTAATCTCTGTAGCCAGTTTTTATGGAGGAAAGCTTCTGGCTCTTTTAGCGATTGAGGAAACCAGGGTTTCAAAGGTGAAATAACTTGCTTAAGGTCACGCTGTATGTGATACACCTGGGACTTCAAAGCCCGTGCCCATGACCACTACCTACTATAAAGATGATAAAGTATATTAGTTGCATTTTAGGGTTTACAGATCTTTTTAGAGACGTCATTTTGAGGTTAATGTTTACATCGCATGTTAAAATCACGAGAGCTGAAAAGAGAAGAAGTTACTATTTTAACTATATCTTCACTATTAGTTTTGCAATTTAGTATCATTTGAAGGATGTATTTCTTCCATCAAACACAAAATCAAACTGAAAATATTGGAAAGAAAAGTAGATAAAAATAAAATCGGAGAGGATCTATAAACCATGCAGAATTGGAAGCGCGTTTTCAGTAATCAACATTTGCGTTAAATTTGAGTCACGCAGTAGGCATCTGGAATAGGAAGTTAAACACTGAACTTTGGGGCAAGCAATTGAGGAAAAAAATCTTGCCAGTTACAGCCTTTTTAAAAAAAAAAAACAAAAGCAAAACATTTTTCTTTGTACAAAAGAGACTTTTTGTTTAAGGTCTAGCTTGGCTGCAAAGTGTCTGCTGGCTAACTTCCTATTTGGATGCTGTGGCTGAAAGTTGCTGATGTTGTTCTGCACGAAAATTTGTCTTTATTGTTTTGTGAACATGGGAAAATTCAAGTGTAGGAAAACCTATACCTGAATATTTCAAGCCTCCCTGGTATGAAGACGCATAGCATGTACGTGAAAAAAAGTAAGTCGGTGGCTGCTTTCAGGCTGGCAGTCTTCGCTCACCGATGTGTATGGTTTTTCCGTGTCGCAGATATCCTTTCAATTAAAAGTAATGAATGCCTGAGAGAGGTGGGGGCGGGGCGAGCAGCCAGCAACCGAATGGTAACAGATTCCTAAGCTCTCCACTCTTCTTAGGAAGAACTGAAGGACAGTCTGGGGAATAAGAAGCAATAAAGAGAAGATAATTTTGAAGCATAGACATGTATTTTTTTTTCTTCAGTTTGAATATATTTACTTGATGTGTACAGAGCATTCACTTGGGAAGTTGTTTTTTCACGTTGTCATTTTTAACTCCCCACCTTGTTCTGTGAGATAAAATACTAAGGGCGTGGAAGAGGAAAAATTCTTCTTCCATTCCACACCGTGTGATCTAGCCAAATGCAGCTTCTCCTTATTCCAATCGAAATGTCACGTTACTGTGTGCTTCAGAGTCAGCACACAGATGTATCTGAAGCAGGCGCAGAGGGCCGCTCCTGCCGCGTCCCTGCTGACCCCCGGGTGTGCCCCGGCACAGAGGGGTCTAGTGAAGAGTGAGGGCGCAGTGGCCGTGACACCTGAGGGGTGTGACAGTGCCGCTCGCTCGGCTGCTCTCCCAGAGCTGACCAAATGAGTCAAGGTGTGGTTCCCGAACCAGGTTCATTGCCTGGGAACCTTGCCGAGCGGAGTCTCCTGAGCTTTATCCTCTGGAAATTCTGAGTCAGTGAGTCAGAGATAAAGCCTGTGAAGTGCCAGGCGTTGCTCTCGAGTTTGAGAGGGACTGTGAAAAATGGTGCTGAGGACTGTGTTTGTGCTAGGTTCGGAAATCGTTCAGCTAGTCAGACACTGAACTAAAATGCACTTGGGCCTTGATGGTGATCCAGATCGTTTGCTGAAACATTTTGTTCAGGAAACTTTTATCTTTCCAACATTGGCTTACAGTTTTTTCATATGGGCTGCCTTCAATGTCTTTATCCGCCAGAACCTAGCACAGTTCTTGGGTTATCATAGGCATTTGGTTTGTACTGATTTAGACGTCGTATCACCCAAAATTTTGAAATAGATAAAAACTCTTTAACTCCTTCCTTTTATTTGTGAACGATAGGGGGGACATCGTCTAAAATTCTGAATGAAGATTTTCTCTGTTATATACCAGGTGAAAGTGGTTATGATTTGATAATGTCTTTTCTTCTCTCCCCTAATAAAAAGGCAGACGGTCTGGAGTCTCTATATTCGGAAATGTATATACACATATGCATTTCAAGTGTGGTGTTTGGGGACATTTACTGAGAATTTGCTAAGTGCCAGCTACTGTTCTGAGCACTTTGCATGCACTGACTCCCAGCAGTTCTCAGGCTAGGTGCTTCGGTGTCCCCCTTTTGTAGATGAGGCTGAGCAGCTTGCCAGGGCCACACGATTAGTAAGCGTTATGGAAAGATTTTGCGTCCTTTAATTAGAAATTTTCGTTTGGGAATTATCTAGAAACTTAGAATATGACCGACAACTTAATTTCCCAGTCTTATTTCAGAAAATAAACTTCAATGGAGACTTAAAAGAATTTAGAGTTTAAAAAGATAAGGGTTGGCACTGGATAAATTTGGGGACATTCTGTGATCATTGTAGGGTTTTGACATTTTTCCTTCTTACCATGTATTGATTCCCTTCTAGTAGGTGTGTAACCCTTGTTTGTTAATAGAGGAGTGCCATATTTTTAAGTGATTTGGATTCTTGAGAGTGAATGTGTACATGAAATCCAGTGTAGCAAACAACTAGCTGATGTTCATGATGGGGGAGTTTTCTGACAGACATTTGTTTTGAGTAGTATCGAAAGTCTCTTGCATTGCGTATAAAAGGCTGAGGAAAGAGAAAAGAGTAGTAGACATTTTCTGAGATGTAAGATAATCCATAATTATTTCATTGGCCAGTTTTACAGTGTACATTTTTTTCTTTTTAAGATTTTACCTATTTATTTTTAGAGATAGGGGAAGGAGAAAGAGAGGGAGAGAAACATCAGTGTGTGGTTGCCTCGCGCGCCCCCTACTGGGAACCCAACCTGGTCCCCAACCCAAGCATGTGCCGTGACTGGGAATCAAATCGGGGACCTTTGGTTCACAGGCCAGCGCCCAATCCAATGAGCCACACCAGCCAGGGCCAGTGTGAGGTATTTTAAACACTAGCAATCTTCAAACTCCTTGGAGTTTTCTGCTGTTTTACCAGGCCACTTGGACAACACCAATGACTTACTAAGTGCCATACTGACTGACTGGGAGAGTCCTTGCTCATGGGAACTGTTCTAAAAGATCTACTAGATTCTGATGTTTGTTCTGTTTAATGTTTTCATCCCTTTATAAACTGCTTCCAGCCCAATTTTTCCATTGTCTTGGTACAAGTCAGGTCTGTCCAAGTTTATTACAGAGTTTTAACTAGCCAAGGAAACATCTTTTCATTTGCTAAAATTCTAAACAAGATAATTAAAGTTAAAGCACAGATGACTTAATTTGCTTCATGTGGGAAAGTCTGACTGACAGTCACGAGAGCTAGCACCTGCAGCTCACAATCACTGAGAAGTTATTGCAGCCACGCGCTCTATTTACCCCTAAGCTTGCCCCCCAGAAAACACTACCACCCCAGATATTAAGTCACAAAGTTGTTAGGAAACATGATAAAGTTATTTTGTATACGTATCTTTCAAACTATAAGACACACTTTTTTTCCTCCTTTTCTTTTCTTCCCCCTCCCCCAATTTGGGAGAAATAATGGTTAATGCTGCTGTTGAGTTCTGTTTACATTTACATTGGTGAAATATTATGTTACTTATGTTATTGAATATTTTACCACGTTTTTTGCTTCCAATTTTTTTTCCTATTTTCCTCTGAAACCTAAGTGCATCTTATGGTCCGAAAAATACGGTATATAATAATTATATCACATTACAGAACCTTTAGTAGTCTGCAAAGCAGTCATCATATTCAGTATAAGGCTTGTTGGTACTGTGAGAATAAGATTTCTGACCTAATCTTCTAGCTTCAGCTCAGATTATTATACATTTCACTCAAAACATTTGGAGTATTGAGAGTTCAAAGACAGGACAGAAGCAAGACTGGGGAAACTGACAAAGCATAGACTGTTTCTACCATGCTTCCCATTACCCACCCCCGCCCCCCCACACACACACAGTGGGTATTCTCTGATTAGCAGTCAGTGTCGGTTGCTTTCTTTTTTCATTTCATCAAGCCCACCACCGAATCACCCCCATCGTACTTGCTGGTTTTGCTCATTGCCTGTCTCCTGCTTTGTATTGTAAGCTCCACAAAGGCAAGGATATTTTCTATTTTGTTCAACTGCTTTTAACCTAGGTTCTGAAACGGTGTCTGGCACATGATAGGCACTTAATAAATATTTGTTGAATTGTTACTAATTCATTTTGCCCACTTTGGCCTGTAAGATGACAGATCTGAATCATCTGAAATCTTAGTCTCTATAAAACACATAAGCTGATCCTGCTCTGGAAAATGGGGTCGGTTTTGCACACCTCAGAGTTCCATCCCTGTTGAAGGGAGGGGTCCCAAACAGTGTTACTTTCATCCAGAGTTAGTCCACTGAGTGTGTCCTGGTAGAAACAGTGACTAGTAAATCAATAACAGCACATAGCTCAGATTGTGGAATATTTCTGATTTACACGTAGCCTATACAGTTCTTTACATTTCAGGTTTTTGAACTTCTAACCTACAATGCTGAGCTTCATTTGTATCCTTAATCCAGTCTTGCTGAATAATCATACTATACAATGATAGATGTGACAGTGTTTCCTACATTGGAACTACACATGAATTACAGCTTGCTTCAAACATTTTCTGTCTCGCTAGTCATGTTTATAAAATGACTTTGAATAAAGTAATAATTTTTCTTTTGCCTAATTATCACTTAGCTTCTCATGTAAGGACATAAACTGAATAAGGATAACCCCAGAAGTTTTTCTCTTTTGCATCTTCCCAATTACTCATTCCCAGTCAAGGCATTGTTGTCCAGAATCTACTTAGGTCTCACCCGTCAGACCTGAATCATTCATATGGAACGATTAAGACCGACCTTGTTCCAACTGCAGAGACACAGCAGTATGTAAGGAGGACAGTGCCAAAACAGCGACTGCCCTTGGAACAGTTGTTCTGACCTTTTTCCCAGTAAAAACTTGCTCGATTGGGAAGTTAGAAAACATTGTGTAAATCAGTGGGTACTGTGGTATAAATAACTGATAAGCCTTAATTAATGTATACTTTTTTTAAAAGATATTTTCTGGGCTTTTTTTTATTTTCTTAATTTTATTTATTTATTTTTAGAGAGGGGGGAGGAGGGAGAAAGAGAGGGACAGAAACATCAGTGTGTGGTTGCCTCTCACATGGCCCCCTTTGGGGACATGGCCCGAAACCCAAGCATGTGCCCTGACAGATGACCCTTTGGTTTTCAGCCTGCGCTCAATCCACTCAGCTACACCAGCCAGGGCTATTTTCTGTTTTAAAAGAATTTCTGGAGTTAACTCTTCTTAATCTAAGAAACCAATTTGCGTGGTTCAGTTTGGTTAAATTGGCAAGTTGGTACAAGGGAGTTTGGAGCGGGCTAGCTTTTTTGGTGCCATTAGTTTAACTCTTGGCCATCTGTACCTAGGATCAGTCTTACCGGTAGTTAGAATGGGATAATGCTTGTCTGATTTTTAGGCTTAGGGGGATCTGTTGTATCTCCTGAAAATCAAAAGGAATTCTGGTCACTAGTTTGTCTTCTCAGGCTCTCAGACTGTAACAGCAGATTTGTAGAAGCGGTGTGTTCTGAGTTGGTGAGAGCTGATTTCAGATGAGAGCTCATCAGTACTTCATAATATCGACGTCCTTGTTTCGTATGGATCGCGTTGTTTCTGTTAGATACCTGCACCAAAACGAAGGGGAAACACTTCCCCAGATTTCCCAGTATCATCTCTCCTTTGTTTTACCTTTACAATGGAAAAGTCAACTGAAAAGTGCCATGAAAAAAAAACTTTTTCATTATTTGCAATTTGTAGCATGATGTGGCTTTTCTGTCCACCTTCAGCGGTTTTGTGCATGTCTGTAGGATAACTGTTGGCGCTGAGCAGTTCCATGTTTGCGTGTGTGTATATACACATCCTGTGTGTATATATGTAATTTTAAACATAAAAAGCATGCCGCTTGGCCTGACCAGCTAATGTGCAATTGTACCTGGTAAACAATTTTTTTCTTTCAAATTCTGACCATAGAGGGAATGAGCTCTCTTTGCTCTGGTGAGCCACCTTCAGAAATTTTGACTTCCTTCTTTCTTACATCTTCTGAAATACGTAAAACTGACCTTGCAGTACTACGTGGAGAACAAAGCCAAGTGTTAGGCAGCCAGCCTGTTTTAGCCAAAGAAGGAGAAGACTGCTTGGCTCTTCTAGACGTGAAAACGACGGAGAAGCCTCAGGGGACCAGTAAAGATGGAGCCAGCTCCGCGGTTCCTGTTGGGGAAGAAGGTCGCTGTCACCGCCCTTCCATTCCAGCCAGCTTCCCAGGCCACCCTGCTTTCCTCTCAGAGGAAGCTGTTCAAGGGGAGGAACAGAGCAATAAAGACCAAGGATCCAAGAACCCCAGTGAGATGCCAAGTAGGAAAGACAAAACAGTCTTGGATGCCAATGACAAGCTTACTTTGCCGACAGCCCAAAAACTACCCACTGAGCAGTCCAGGGCAGAAGGCATCGGTACACACTCCTTATCCCCACCCAAAGTGTCGGGAGGTGGTGGCATTGAGAAGGATTCCCCCGAATCACCATTCGAAGTAATTATCGACAGAGCAGCATTTGACAAGGAATATAAAGATTCCTACAAGGAGAGTGCCAATGATTTTGGTAGCTGGGCAACGCACACTGATCGAGAATCATCTGCAGACCTTTCCGAGTCTAATGACAAAGTGTTTCCACTAAGAAATAAAGAGGCAGGGCGTTTCCCAACCTCTGCCTTGCTCACTAGGCAGTTTTCACACACAACTGCAGCACTGGAAGAGGTGTCTAGGTGTGTCAGTGATATGCACAACTTTACTAATGAAATACTGACTTGGGATTTCGTTCCCCATGTGAAGAAGCAGCAGGACGATGAAGCCGACTACATCACAAAAACTGCAGGACTTGACATGAGCAAATTTAATTCAGAAATTCCCGTTGTAAATCTTAAAACTAATACTCACCAGAAAATTCCGGTATGTCCTATCAATGGGAGCACGCCCGTTGCTAAATTGACAGGTAACTGGGCAGAAGCATCTTTCCCACAAGAAAATGCTGCCGTTGAGAAACCTACACCGGACTGTCTTGACTCCACAACAGACAGCGGTGTCAAAGGTGTGCAAGGCAACGTGCAGAAACAAGGTGACACACTTTCAGAGGTGCCTGGATCTCCGTTTGAGAAATGTGTCTCTCCGGGTTCTGGTGTGGCTCCAGTAAAAGTGGTTTTACCTGATGGCCACTTGAAAGGTGAAGTGAACTGGCAGAGCTCTGTGTTGGGAGAAGTGACAGAGGCTGATAGCTCTGGGGAGTCTGATGACACAGTAATAGAAGACATCACAGCCAATATTTCATTTGAAAGTAACAAAATTCAGGCTAAAAAACCTGTTTCCACTGCGAGTGCTGTCGTTAAAGCAGATGAAAAAGAAATCAAAGAGATTCTCAATTATAACAGGGAAACCAAAACATCCGAAAACTTGGAAGGGTCGGTCAGTGACTCTGAGCCACAAATTCAGCCCGCTATTCTTGCAGGGAGCCCAGCCGGTATGGCGGCAGGTTCCCAGGTACCTGATGCGAATGTCACGTCAGGAGATGTGAAGCAGTCGGCTGGAAGGGGTGGCGTTATTCCTGAAAAGGCCGTTACAACTGAGGCGCCCACACTTCCTTCAGCAGCACCTTCGGAGGTCATTGAGACAGAATTCTCACCAAACGTGACAGCCTCTGCCCATTTGGAGTCAGTACATGAAAGAAGTATTAAAGATACAGAGGATCCTTCCTCAGAGGACCTGGTAACAGCCTTTACAGAAACCACAGAGAAAGGAATAGCAGATAAAAGCGAAGGAAATGCATTGGAAGCAACATCAGAGAAGGCTGCGGACTCCAAAACAACTCTTCCTGTAGAAGTCTTGTATGAATGTGAGTCAGGTGGTTCTGAAATTAAAGACATAAAAAGCAGATACTCTCAACAAAACAAAGAAATGAGTGGAAGCGAGCTTCTGGATGCTTTTCCCACCCGAGGTGCTTCAGCAGCGTCTCTCGACTTAGAGCAGGAGCAGCTCACGATCAGAGCCCTTAAAGAACTGAGCGCGAGGCAGGCTGAGAAGTCCGCTCCCGCACGGGGTGAGGTAGGCTCTCCTTCTGAGGAAACACTCAGGCAGACTCCCACATCTGCTCCAGAATCTTCTCAGCCACAGAGGTCACAGGATGTCCAAGAACACACAGATGTCAGAAAGCCCACTGTTATCACAGAAACCACTAGCGTAGATGTTGCCTCCAGCTGTAGCAAGACTGACCTGGTAAACACGCATGTGCTAGCAAGACTTCTGGCGGACTCCACAGGTAACCGTTCACACGGCCCACTGGGGGGAGGTAGATTTTTGCTAGTGGTTGTTCAAGTACAGTTTTCTCCCTTTTACTCCCATTCCAGCCCACCCACCCACCCTTCCCCACTTCCCTCCCATTACCACCCTCCCCCTAGTTTTTGTCCATGTGTCCTTTAAATTTGTTCCTGTAAACCCTTCCCATTCTCCCCTGAAATTCCCTCTTCTCTCCCCTCTGCTCACTGTCAGTCTGTCCCTTATTTCAGTGTCTTTGGTTATATTTTGCTTGTTTCTTTGTTTTGTTGTTTAGGTTCCTGTTAAAGGTGAGATCATATGGTATTTGTCTTTCACTGCCTAGCTTGTTTCGCTTAGCATAATGTTTTCCAGCTCCATCCATGCTGTCGCAAAGGGTAGGAGCTCCTTCTTTCTTTCTGCTGCATAGAATTCCATTGTGTAAATGTACCATAGTTTTTTGATCCGTTCATTTACTGATGGGCATCTAGGTTGCTTCCAGCACCTAGCTATTGTAAATTGTGCTGCTATGAACATCGGGGTGCAAAGGTTCTTTTGGATTGGTGTTTCAGGGTTCTTAGGATAGAGCCCCAGCAGTGGAATTGCTGGGTCAAAAGGCAGATCCATTTTTAGTTTTCTGAGGAAGTTCCATACTGCTTTCCATAGTGGTTGTACCAGTCTGCAGTCCCACCAACAGTGCACTAGGGTCCCCTTTTCCCCACAACCTCTCCAACACTTGTTGTTTGTTGCTTTGTTTATGATGGCTATTCGGACTGGTGTGAAGAGGTTTAGTTTTCTTACACAGATATTTCCCAAAGCAGTAGGCCACTGGTTAAAATTAATATTCTCCTAAAAAAAATTTATACTCCAGTTTTTTCTGTGTTGTTTTTTCCTTATAGGTTGACCCTAGGATGAATGCTACTTTTAACAGTATCATTAGGCTCTTATTTACAAAGCTTGTTTTTAAATCTCCAGAATAGTACGTTACTTACTTCACACTTGGGTTTTTTGCTGTGGGCCTTGTGAAATCTATTTGGCAATCAAAGATAAAGGAATTCCTGCTGGGGTAGACAGTAAATGAAACTTTTAATTAATTTGGTCTTATACCGTAGAGATACTATGCTCTGAAAGGAGGTAACCTGTATTGCAACACTATTTTGTGAGGAATACTTAGGAGACCTCGTGTGTTCTTCTTTAGACCTTATTTAATATTCTTCAGGCCGAACTCATTCTGCAGTACTGGAAGCCCTTTTCTTACCTTCTGTTTATTTGAATGATTCCTTTTCTAGCAGTTGGCCTTCAGTTATATTCCCTCAAATGCTGTCTGTGCTGGGGCCTCGGAAAGGGCAAGAGAACAGGGATGCTTGAGGCCCTCCAGAAGGGGTTGTCAGCCTCTGTTCTTGACGCCAGGTTCTGTACTGACATCATGGTCATTGCAGGTGCTCTGGGGATCTGTGGCTTTCCAGACTTTTTTGGCAATGGATCTCTTTTTCCAATGAAATTATTCGAAAAATACTTTCAAATATTATTTGAAACGCGGGGAGTTAAATATTTAAAACACAAATGATATGTTTGTTATTACAAACTTACAAGTGTGATTAGACCGTGTACCTCTTTTCCTGTGAGGTGTCATTACGCACGGAGGGGGCTCGTCCTCGGCAGCTGGCCCCCTCTCCTCCTCGCAGCCGGCGCACTGCTGCGCTCCTCCGGCGGGGCTGCCAATGCGACACCTTTCAGGCCTTGTCCCTCACCGAGGTGCGCCGACTTGGCGTGCTTGGTGAGACGCCTCTGTCCCCAGCTGTGCCTCAGCGTCCTGACACTCTTGATCACCTGTGGCCCTTGTTGAGGCCCATGGCCATAGGGCACCACAGAGCCGTGGCTGCTCCTCTTCAGTGGCTGCCGTGGCAGAAGGGCACCATTTATCACTTATAAAGGCATTTCCTGACTACAGACCATGGGCAGATAAGTTGATCTTCCTAGATTTTAATTCTTAAAATAGATTTATGATAGTATTGTGAGAATTAAATATGAAAATGCAGGTAATGCAGTGTCTTGGACCTAGTAAATACTCATTTAGCACCAAGTATAGGACCTGACTGGGTAATCATTTGTTAATTAATTGTTAACTAAGTGGATGAATTGTTAATAATTATCAGCGGCAACATCAAGGCTTTTTTTTATATAAACTCAAAGATTTAAAATGGTAGTAAAGGATACTTGTTATTCCTTAATAATTGAAGATTATTGAGCATGGATTTAGGAGTGCTAATTTCTCATTGTTGCTTTACTGTGTCTAGACGTGTGACATTGAACGGTTAAGTCACATCACCTTTTGAGGATTCGATTTCCTTATCTGGAAAGTGAGGATGTTGAGTTAGATGATCTTTAATATCATTTCAATAATACGATTCTCTGACTCTGGTATATCTTCGGTTTCATCATCAGTTGCTGTAGTTCTTACAAGCAGCTCTTTTGAGTGATGAGGCGGATGGGAATTAGGCTACAAGAACTCCAGTGTCTAATTCTGGCAAGTTCCTGCTTTAGTGTGACCTCAGACAGCTAGCCTGACTGGTTCAACAGATTCCTTTGTTAATATGGTGATAATTGTTTTGTCCTGCTTTATAGTGTTGTAGTAAATAAAGCTCTATGTAAATACTAATTAGTAATTCTCAGCTGAGTTATTTAACCTAGGAGAGAGGTAGAAAGGGCTGTGGAAGTTTAGAATATTTGTCACTGACCAAATTCTATGATTAATACATACTTTTAGATGATAATTAAGGGAGACGAGCATAATTAGACCAAGAACCTGACAGGTCTTCCTTTGTGTTTTCCAAGTGTACAAGCTATATATTCACCAATACAGACAACGTGCCAGGCCATAAAACAAATTTAAATTTAAATCAGTAAATTTTAAAGGATTAAGATAATATAAAATGTGTTCTAAGATCACAATGAAATTAAATTTTAAAACAAGGAAAATAAGATGCCTAGGAAAATTTCCAAATATTTGAAACTTATGCAAAGATACTTTTACATAATCTATAGTTGAACAAAATCACAAGAAAAAAATTGTAATGTTTTAAACTGAATGACAATGAAAATACAATACGTCAAACTTGAGGAACGCAGTGCTGAAAGGGAAACTTACAGCTCTAAATACGTAGGTTAGAAAAGAAAAATAATCCAAAGATCTAAGGTTGCAACTTAAAAAGCTAAAAAAAGAAGAGCAAAGTAAGTAGAAGGAAATTACGAAGGTCCAAGCTCAAAAAAGGGGTTATCACTTAAGATCCTACAGATATTAAAAGGATAATAGAAAATTATGAACAGGTTTATGCCAACAAATTTATCCATTTAGATGAAATGGACAAATTTCTTGAAAAGAATACAACTTAGCAAAGCTAACACAATTGCTATTAAATTTGTTATCAAAAATCTTACTAAAAAATGGCCTGGCCCGGAAGTTTTACTAGGAGAATCTTCCAAGCATTTAAGGAAAAAGGAGAGAAAATTTGCTAACTAATGACTAGTAGATAGTAACACCAAAACTGGACAAAGACATTACCCCCCAAAAATTATAGACTAATATCCCTCATGAACATAATAAGATGAAAAATTCTTTTTTTTTCTTATTAAGATTTTATTTATTTTTTAGAGAGGGAAGGGAGGGAGAAAGAGAGAGAGAGAAACATCAATGTATGGTTGCTGGGGGGCCGTGGCCTGCAACCCAGGCATCTGCCCTTACTGGGAATTGAACCTGCAACACTCTGGTTCCCAGCCAGCGCTCAATCCTGAGCTACGCCAGCCAGGGCTAAGATGAAAAATTCTTAACAAAATATTAGCAAATCAACAATATAGCAAAAGGTTATTGTGTCATGGTTAAGTGGAGTTTGTTCCAGGAATACAAACTTATTTTGTGTGTGTTTTAAAGATTTTATTTACTTATTCATTAGAAGAGAAAGGAGGTAGAAAGAGAGAAAAAAACATCAATGTATGTTGCCTCTCACGCGCCCCCTACTGGGGATCTGGCCCACAACCTAGGCATGTACCCTGACCAGGGATCAAACCAGGCTAACACTCAATCCACTGAGCTACACCAGCCGGGATAAAACCATAAAACTTTTAGAAGAAAGTATAGGAAAATACTTTCATGTTAAGGGTAGGCAAAGATTTCTTAGGTCACAGAATGCACTAGGGATGAAATAAATCAATAAATTAGACTTAATCAGAATTGAAACTTCCTCATTAAAAGATACCACTAACAGGCAAGCCATTGCCTGGGAAGAAGTACAATATTTACAAAACATTATCTGATAAAGGATTAATATCTAGAAAATAATAAAAACTACATTCTAACAGTAAAAGGACAAATAACACAATAAAAGAAAGTGGGCAGAAAAGATTCTGACACTTCTCCAAAGAAGACATACAAATGACCAAGAATTCAATGAAAATGTGTTCACCACCATGAATCTTCACATAATTAAAATCAAAACAATATGACCCTACACATCCACCTGAGTGGCTAAAACTAAAGACTAATAACCACTAATGCTGGCGAGGTTGTGGAACAGCTAAAATTTATTAGCTGTTGGTAAGAATATAAAATAAAACAGTACAAATACTTTGGAAAAAGGTTGTGTGTGTTTTTTTTTTAGGAGAATTGACACCATGACCAAGCAATTCTGTTGAGAAATAAAAACGTGTTCATACAGAGACATACATATGTTCATAGCCGTTTTGTTCATCAGTAGCTCGAAGCTGGAAACAGCCAGTTGTCTACCATGAGGGAATAGATAACCTGTGGTATAGCAGCTATCTTGCAGAAGTATGGGTGGCTCAGGAACTATGCCAAGTTAACGAAACAATACAAAAATAATTCATACTGCATGATTCCATTTAAGTGAAACTCTAGAACAAGCAAACTTTGGTGCAGAGAAAGGAATCAGAGCAGTGGTTATTTCTTGGGGTATCGACTGGGGAGGAATACGAAACTTTTGGTGGCAATGG